AACCATGATAAGACTAGTATTAATGGAGATTCATTGTAGGTCAATGTTGGTGATGAGTTCATATAGGATAATTCGATATCGTTGTATCATTTCAATTTATTATTGTAACGTAATGTATTTTTAATAAGCAGTAGTCGTAATTTAGATAAGGATATAATAATTACTTTCTCTCTAATTGTACGAGGAACAACGTACTTCTGGAACCACGTTCCAGAGATATCATTATACGTGGTTATCTTGAGGTTATCTTGAGATGATTTTGGGGCTTAGCGTCCCCACGGCCCGGTCCACACCCCCAGGAAGCAGCTCGTAGCAGCTGTCTAACTCCCAGTACCTGTATACTGCTAGGCGAACAAAGGCATCAGGGTCAAAGAACTCTGCCCATTTGTTTTCGCCTGCACCTGGAATCGAACCCTTGGAACCTCAGGACTACGAATCCGAAGCGCTGTCCACTCAGCTGTCAGGGTCTCATATATATATATATATATATATATATATATATATATATATATATATATATATATATATATATATATATGGGGTGGTTTTGGATGTTTCTGGAGGGGTTCCACGCCGGGGCGACGTACTCTAGAATGGCCCGTCACATGCCAGCCCGTTCTCACAATTTGACGCTCCTTAAAAATAATGGAAGCGTTCCCCTAACCAGGAGTGTTGTAACCTACACAACCCACCTAACCCATCGAAAATACATGTCAAAGACACCAGACCTATCTGAAGAAAAGAGACGGCATCGCTCCTGTGCCAGGTGAGTCCACTACGGGCTCACCATAGCCTGTGCTACTTGGAACTTGTTCCGAGTAGCTGAATCTATAAGAACAACAATAACCTATCTGAAAAAAAAGAATAGAAACCTCGATCTCCAACTGGCGATAAAGAAAGTCGCACACACACATCTTTCTGCCGCTAACAACAGAGCCAACATGAGGGCCAAACACTGGCCGGTGATTGGCCGGCAGCGACGACAACGAGGGGGTGCCAGGCACTACTCATCAAGTGACACACAATCCGTGCACAGGCACCCAGATGGGCCAAGCCAAAGGACTAAATTAATGGATCGAGGCTTAAAAGCGACAGAGGTGTCAAAAATACCCCAGAGAGGGAGTTTAATTTGTTGAGATATACAGAGAGGTGTATGGTATACAATGAGGGCGGTGAGGGTGGTGTATATGGGCCAAGGGAGAGACATACTTGAAGAGCAGCCAGGCAGGCAGAACCTCGGCTTGAGCCAGAGTAGGGGAGGCTGTCTAGGGGAGATTAATTTACCTAATACACACAGGTAAGCAGGACGAGGGTGAGGGGTGTCGGGTGTGTGACACACACACACTATATAAGAAAAAATGTATCTATACACATATATATATATATATATTTTTTTTTTACATTATAGGGTACCACCTCTGGTGCCAATGTGGGGACCCATAGCCTCGGAGAAGAAAATAAAAAGTATTCAGAGGAGACCTTGTGGTCTCTCACTGAACACTAATATTATCTTCTACCACCATATATATATATATATATATATATATATATATATATATATATATATATATATATATATATATATATATATATATATATATATATATATATATGTCGTACCTAGTAGCCAGAACGCACTTTTCAGCCTACTATGCAAGGCCCAATTTGCCTAATAAGCCAAGTTTTCCTGAATTAATATATTTTCTCTAATTTTTTTCTTACGAAATGATAAAGCTACCCATTTCATTATGTATGAGGTCATTTTTTTTTATTGGAGTTAAAATTAACGTAGATATATGACCGAACCTAACCAACCCTACCTAACCTAACCTAACCTTTCTTTATAGGTTAGGTAGCCGAAAAAGCTAGGTTAGGTTAGGTTAGGTAGGTTAGGTTGTCGAAAAAGAATTATTTCATGAAAACTTGGCTTATTAGGCAAATCGGGCCTTGCATAGTAGGCTCAGAAGTGCGTTCTGGCTATTAGGTACGACATATATATATATATAATTCATAAGTAATAATTTATAATTCATATATGACATAAAAATAATTCAGGAGCAAGGAACAAGTCTAGGCCTCACCCTGAACTGTTCCAAGTGCGAAATAACCTCATCCAACCAGCACATAATAGAGCGAATAAAGGTTGTTTTGCCTGATATTCATACAACCAACCCTGAGGACAGCACACTCCTAGGTGCTCCTCTTGGAGGGAATGCCATCGACGGGGTCCTTGGTAAGAAGATCACTGACCTGAAGAGGATGAACGAGAGGATTGAAGACATCGATGCTCATGATGCACTTTACCTCATCACCAGATGCTTGTCCCTCCCCAGGTCCCGCCATCTTTCAACAATATTAAATTAGAAGAATTAGTACAACAGCTTGCTGAAATCAACGCTAAAAAAGCTCTCAACCTTTCTCTCAGCGACCCACAGTGGAAACAGGCCTCCCTTCCTGTCAGACTCGGAGGTCTCGGCGTTCGCACAGCAACACAAATTGCTGTACCAGCGTTTGCGTCCTCTTCAGTGGCGTCTGACAACCTGGTGAAGGAAATCCTACCTAAGTACCTAGTTCAACAGGCAGGGGAACATGCTCCCAGTCATGTACCCCTGCCTGTAGATCCCGGTCTACAGGTGTGGTCTACAGGTGTGGTCTACAGGTGTGGTCTACAGGTGTGGTCTCCAGGTGAAACAAGCAGTCTGGTCAAATATATCCGGTCTTGAAGCCCCTTCAAGACCGTCACACCCCTCCCGTGCACACTGCAAAGTCCTGTCTCGCAATCTGCACCCGCAGTCAACTTGACTGTTGTTGCCAGGCCTGTGCATCCGCAGAGCGTTGACATCATATGTAAAAATGATAATGCGAATCATCTTTGGCACAATGGTAAGCACAGCCGGGTTACAGTCGAAAGGTCACGGGTTCAACTCCCGCGGTACGATAGAAGCGTTTGTTTACTCACAATCGAGCATTCCGGGTTCGAATCCCGGTCGGCACAGAAATGGTTGGGCACGTTTCCTTTCAACTCATGCTACTGTTCACCTAGCAGTAAATAGGTACCCGGGAGTTAGCTTCTTGTGGGGTTAAATCCTTTGCCGGGGTTAGTAATTCAACCTTGGGGTGGTGTGGGGGTGGGGGGGGGGGGACTTCGGTAAAAGCCTAACATGTACTGTATATATCGCCTGGCTTCCTGTCCCCCGACACAATGAATTATTATTCATGTTTCCTTTCACCTGAAACCTCTGTTCACCTAGCAGTAAATAGTTACGCAGGAGTTAGGCAACTGTTGTGGCCTGCATCATAGGTAATGTCAGGAGTAGACTACGGTATTCCATGAGGTAAACCGCATATACAGGAATTGTCTTATAAGACCAACTGGCTGTTAGGAGGCCTGGTTGACGACCGGACCGCAGGGACGCTAAGCCCCGAAATCATCTCAAGATAACCGAGAAGCAAGAACTCTCACAAGCATAGGTACCACATGAAACAAAAAAACATGCAAATTAAACAACCAAATGTATGGAACTCCTTTCTTAACGAAGTAAAAATAAAAAAAAATGCCCAACCTACTCTATTGAAAAGTAGAACAACGTATGTACTCCTCCTTGTGATACTAATCGAACATTTTACTCTACTAAATTCGCCTACATTAATATAATTTCCTTAGACACCACTGTATATTAGTATAGTTAGTATGTGAATTCAGATTCTGGCATCATATATCTGTCATTACATTTATTCTGATTCCACATCGGCTGCTTTACCTTGTAATTTTAAACTCTACAAATTGTGTAGTTTGTTTAAGGACCTGCTCGAAGCGCTGTGGACAATAGCGGGTTTGCAGGAATGAACCAGTTAATCTCCAACATATGTCCTGTCACATCCCAGTCCCACCACTTGGGCTGGACGGTAGAGCGACGGTCTCGCTTCATGCAGGTCGGCGTTCAATTCCCGACCGTCCAAGTGGTTGCACACCATTCCTTTCTCTCCGTCCTATCCCAAATCCTTATCCTGATATCTTCCAAGTGCTATAAAGTCGTAATGGCTTGGCGCTTTCCCCTGATAATACAATACAATACAATACAATACGATACAATGCAATACAATCAAGATAACTCAAGAATGCTGTCACATCCCAGTGTACCTACCTCAGTATATATAAATAAGTAAATAAACATCCATGAATAACTATGCACTCTCAACTTTGGAATGCATTAGGCAGTGATGTGGTGGAGGCTGACTCCATACACAGTTTGAAATGTAGATATGACAGAGCCCAGTAGGCTCAGGAATCTGTACACCAGTTGATTGACAGTTGAGAGGCGGGACCAAAGAACCAAAGCTCAACCCCCGCAAGCACAAGTGGGTGAGTTTAACTAGGTGAGTAAACTAAGGTAGTATACCATTAATTAAGGTATTCTCATCATTTAGCATAATTTGACAGAAAACGGTGTAGGGGGACACTGATCTAACGTGAACATTGTTCCGAGGCATTCACGACCATAGTTGCTTCAGTACACAGTTCCGTTTACCTAACAGCAAACAAGCTTGTTAGCTAAAGTAACCTGTAATTAGGGGACTGTTGTGGATTGCATCCTGCGGAAAAATAAGTCGCTGGCTAGAGGGGAGAACTTAGTTAAACTTGACAGACTTCCAGTTCACTACAATACAGAGAAAGTTCAGAAAGTTCATTGTCTCTCACATGAACCAAAACGTATTCATCAGTATAGTGTATTATTGCCATGACAACAGCACATAAATCATGCCAGGATTGACCTGAGAGCCACTGTCTCTAGTGGCCTCGAAAAGGACAAGAAGCCGGCGGCTTGTCTAAGGTCACTGAGGAAGGCTTCAACACCCACCCCCCCACCACCACCACCGCCCTCACCCCTCATCTTCTCTAACTACAGGTGTAAATTAATACCAAACTGCCTCACTGAACCTCGACAGGTGTGAGGCTGCGAGGCAGGTGTCAACAGCTGCCTCGCCCTGAGGTGTGGGGCATGTGGCCAGCCTCATACTTTAAGCAACCACATAGCTACAACACAGCTACGCATGTTGCTATGTTGGCGTGGATCTGTCGGGAGCGGGAAGTAATTTTTTGTCGCTTTATCGGTGTTCTTGTCAAAGGAGGAGGCTGTCTTCGCGGTCACCCATCCAGTTACTACGAGATGGGGTCATCACTGCGAGAGGTCATCACTGCGAGAGGTCATCACTGCGAGAGGTCATCACGGCGGGAAGTCATCACTGCGAGAGGTCATCACTTCGAGAGGTCATCACTGCGAGAGGTCATCACAGCGGGAAGCCATCACTGCGAGAGGTCATCACTTCGAGAGGTCATCACTTCGAGAGGTCATCACTGCGAGAGGTCATCACTGCGAGAGGTCATCACTTCGAGAGGTCATCACTGCGAGAGGTCATCACTGCGAGAGGTCATCACTGCGAGAGGTCATCACAGCGAGAGGTCATCACTGCGAGAGGTCATCACTGCGAGAGGTCATCACTGCGAGAGGTCATCACTGCGAGAGGTCATCACTGCGAGAGGTCATCACAGCGGGAAGCCATCACTGCGAGAGGTCATCACTTCGAGAGGTCATCACTGCGAGAGGTCATCACTGCGAGAGGTCATCACTGCGAGAGGTCATCACTTCGAGAGGTCATCACTGCGAGAGGTCATCACTGCGAGAGGTCATCACTGCGAGAGGTCATCACTTCGAGAGGTCATCACTGCGAGAGGTCATCACTGCGAGAGGTCATCACTTCGAGAGGTCATCACTGCGAGAGGTCATCACTGCGAGAGGTCATCACTGCGAGAGGTCATCACTGCGAGAGGTCATCACTTCGAGAGGTCATCACTGCGAGAGGTCATCACTGCGAGAGGTCATCACTGCGAGAGGTCATCACTGCGAGAGGTCATCACGGCGGGAAGCCATCACTGCGAGAGGTCATCACTGCGAGAGGTCATCACTGCGAGAGGTCATCACTGCGAGAGGTCATCACGGCGAGAGGTCATCACTGCGAGAGGTCATCACTGCGAGAGGTCATCACTGCGAGAGGTCATCACTGCGAGAGGTCATCACTTCGAGAGGTCATCACTGCGAGAGGTCATCACGGCGAGAGGTCATCACTGCGAGAGGTCATCACTGCGAGAGGTCATCACTGCGAGAGGTCATCACTGCGAGAGGTCATCACTGCGAGAGGTCATCACTGCGAGAGGTCATCACTTCGAGAGGTCATCACTGCGAGAGGTCATCACTGCGAGAGGTCATCACTGCGAGAGGTCATCACGGCGAGAGGTCATCACTGCGAGAGGTCATCACTGCGAGAGGTCATCACTGCGAGAGGTCATCACTGCGAGAGGTCATCACTGCGAGAGGTCATCACGGCGGGAAGTCATCACTGCGAGAGGTCATCACTGCGAGAGGTCATCACTGCGAGAGGTCATCACTGCGAGAGGTCATCACGGCGGGAAGTCATCACTGCGAGAGGTCATCACTGCGAGAGGTCATCACTGCGAGACGTCATCACTGCGAGAGGTCATCACTGCGAGAGGTCATCACTGCGAGAGGTCCTCACTGCGAGAGGTCATCACTGCGAGAGGTCATCACGGCGGGAAGTCATCACTGCGAGAGGTCATCACTGCGAGAGGTCATCACGGCGAGACGTCATCACTGCGAGAGGTCATCACTGCGAGAGGTCATCACTGCGAGAGGTCATCACGGCGGGAAGTCATCACTGCGAGAGGTCATCACTGCGAGAGGTCATCACTGCGAGAGGTCATCACGGCGGGAAGTCATCACTGCGAGAGGTCATCACTGCGAGAGGTCATCACTGCGAGAGGTCATCACTGCGAGAGGTCATCACGGCGGGAAGTCATCACTGCGAGAGGTCATCACTGCGAGAGGTCATCACTGCGAGAGGTCATCACTGCGAGAGGTCATCACTGCGAGAGGTCATCACTGCGAGAGGTCATCACTGCGAGAGGTCATCACTGGTCTCATTCCCATTATTTATTTATATTTATTTCATAATTTATTTATTAACAGTTTTCTTATATCTGGTCATCATGACTTCCTATTCGGTACCTGTTCCTTCTTCCTCCTCCTCCTTCTGCTTCCCCTCTTCGTCTGTCTGTCTGTCTGTCTGTCTGTCTGTCTGTCTGTCTGTCTGTCTGTCTGTCTGTCTGTCTGTCTGTCTGTCTGTCTTTCTCTCTCTGTCTCTGTCTCTGTCTCTGTCTCTGTCTCTCTCTCTCTCTCTCTCTCTCTCTCTCTCTCTCTCTCTCTCTCTCTCTCTCTCTCTCTCTCTCTCTCTCTCTCTCTCTCTCTCTCTCTCTCTCTCTCTCTCTCTCTCTCTCCCTCCTTGTCCCCGCACGTGTCCTGATTGTCCCCTCGTCGCCAGAAAGGTTGGCAGTGCACCTGGCGCCTGGGCGGCCTTTACCTGCGTCTCCTCTGATTCATCGCTGGAGTTTCCCCTCGACGGCTGCTCCACCACACACACACCTGCGCTCCGTGACCCCTTACGGCTAATTACCTTACCTGCCTCTCCGCCGCCATACCTGTCTACTGCCTCTCGTCTGCTCCTCTCTATTGGAATTATTGGCGGTTTAGTTTTCTCTTGTCTTTTCTTCCATTCTTCCTCGTCTGTCTCTCCTTCCTTCACCTTCTATCTTGTACTTTGTCCCATGTACTCAGTAACATTTCTTATTTTTGGTTTACCTCTTTCTTCCTCAAGGTTGCCTTCACCTTCTTATCTCTCCCGCGTATTACAGATCCCTCTTCTGCCCCCTTCTCTGTCCCCCGTCTCTCTCGCTTTCCCTGCCCCCCCCCTCTCGCTTTCCCTGCTCCCCTCTCGCTTTCCCTGCCCCCCTCTCACTTTTCCTCGTCCCCTCACTTTTCTTGCCTATTCACCCCTCATTTCCATACTTTCCCCCATCATGGTATCGTATACCGTTTCCAAGATCACCACACCTCCCTCCCCTCTCTTCCTATGTCTCCCCCCTCGCGAGCACTCTCTCCTCTCCGCTTCTCCCCCTCTCTCCCCCTTCCCGTCCCCTGGCTACGCCTGACCCGCCCCTACGAGAGTACTGTAGCGGCGTCCAGGGCTTGGGCGGCGGCGACGGTGAGTCAACGGGTGGCGCCACGCCAGCTCCGTAATCAGCGTCCTCCCCGCCCCCCACCACCGGCGCCACACAGGTAAGACGCCAGCCGCCGCCCCCTCGGCGTTAATACCTGGACACCCCCGCCTCCAATAGTCCAGTCGCCGCCGACTGGAATGTTGATGTTTTCAGCGGGGTGAGGGGAGGGGGGGGGAGGGGTTGCTTCATTACCCCTGACAGTTGCTTCTTGCAGGTTTGGATACACATGGCGCCGCTATTCCTGGTCCCATAAGCACAACACCGCTTCTGTGCCGGGTATGTTACGGGCTCACCATAGCCCGTGCTACTTGGAACTTGTACCGAGTAGCTGAATCTATAACAACAACAACATCCTAGTTTCCTCTTGCCTGTCAGCCTTGCCGTCAAGAGGCTCTCCTCCGTCAACCTGTTCTGGTTCTGTCTCCTTTCTGCAATCCTCTTGCGTTTCCCGTCTGTTCCACTCCCACACTCTACACTACATCCTTCACCTCCTCTACAGTACCTCGGCAGCAGAATCAAGCCTCGTGTGGTTGGACTGCTTGCTACAGCGACGATCTCACTTTTTGCAGGATCGGCGTTCGATACCCGATGGCATTCACATTTCCGATGTTAGTCCTCATATATCCCTTACAAGTGCTGTCCCAGCCCCCCCGTGGCGACCTCAGACACCACCTTCCTCACCTCTTCCATCTCTTCCACCGCCTGTGGAAAAGATGGAAGATACCTTCTTATTTAACCGTACTGTCTTACAGATATTTCTGATTTAACCGTGGAAATGGGTAGACAGTGACTTGCCGAACAGAACCTCGACTGGAAGAATAATGTTAAAACTGTGTACCCAGATGGGGGCGTCTCCTTGAGGCTTGGGAACATGTAGGGTGGTTTGGTGCAGTGATGGAGGAAGACATTGCCAGAAGGTCTGCACGCCGGGAAGGTTGTATAGCACTGGAAGAACCTCTACGCCCCGAGGTCTGGCGCCATCACGATAGCCGGTGGCGCCTCAATTAGACCATTCCGGCAGACGTCTTGTTTACAACCCTGAACGTCAGAGCTGTCTTGTTTACATCCCTGAACGTCGGAGCTGTTGTGTTTACATCCCTGAACGTCAGAGCTGTCTTGTTTACACCCCCTGAACGTCGGAGCTCGGGGCCCTTGAATCGCCGCCTTTCCAAGCTCCTGTTACCCCTGAAATGGAAACGAAATGTAGAATTCTGTTCTTTACTCACATTACTTTAAACCCCAAACAAAGAGTCGCGATCCCATTCTTGTTCACCAAAACACCATCAATAATGCAGATCTTGCCCAAGATGGCCACATAGACTTGTGGACAAAGGAGATTACGGGAATTCAAGTGGAAATGTGTGATAATTCCGACGTTTTTTGACATTAAGGCAGTTTACGGGCTCACCATAGGCCGTGCTGCTTGGAATTCAAGTGGAAATGTGTGATAATTCCGACGTTTTTTGACATTAAGGCAGTTTACGGGCTCACCATAGCCCGTGCTGCTTGGAATTCAAGTGGAAATGTGTGATAATTCCGACGTTTTTTGACATTAAGGCAGTTTACGGGCTCACCATAGCCCGTGCTACTTGGAACTTTTGTTCCGAGTAGCGAATCTTAAACAACAACAACAACAATTTTTGACATTAGCTTCCTCACGTGTGGCGCCGCCAATTGTGAAAGCCATTAACCATTTTACTGGTATATAGCTGCCTCTGAGTCGGTATTTTCATCACTTGCTGCATCGAAATGGAAGGTAGAAACAGAGGGAGAAGAGAGATCAGAGATAGGAGAAATAATAAAGAGGAGAGATAGAGAGAAAGAAACAGGGTGAAAGAGAGAGATGATCGGAGAGATAAGAGAGAGAGGGAGAGATTGAAAGAGAATTAAAAGGTGTGTGTTTACTCACCTATTTGTGTTTGTGATGGTTGAGCTTTGGCTCTTTGGTCCCGCCTCTCAACTGTCAATCAACTGGTGTACAGATTCCTGAGCCTATTGGGCTCTGTCATATCTACATTTGAAACTGTGTATGGAGTCAGCCTCCACCACATCACTGCCTAATGCATTCCATTTATTAACTACTCTGACATCGAAAAAATTCTTTCTAACGTCTCTGTGGCTCATCTGGGTACTAAGTTTCCACCTGTGTCCCCTTGTTCGTGTCCCACCCGTGCTGAAGAGTTTGTCTTTGTCCACCCTGTCAATTCCCCTGAGAATTTTATAGGTGGTTATCATGTCTCCCCTTACTCTTCTGTTTTGCAGGGATGTGAGGTTCAGCTCCTTTAGCCTTTCCTCGTAGCTCATACCCCTCAGTTTCCGTGTGTGTGTGTGTGTGTGTGTGTGTGTGTGTGTGTGTGTGTGTGTGTGTGTGTGTGTGTGTGTGTGTGTGTGTGTGTGTGTGTGTGTGTGTGCGTGTGTGTGTGTGTGGGTTGGGAGAGGGGGGGAATGTAACTTGCACAGTTGACAGCCCCAATGAACGAGCAGAACTGTCAAAACTTGGCCTGAAGTTTGCCCGCTGGTGTAGCGAGGGCGGGGAACAACCCCTCCCTCCACCGTCAACACCAGCAAGAATACACGCAAATACAACAAGGGAAAAAAAAATACACGCGACGAGAAAAAAAATGGTTGAATTTGTCTCTATATACATTTGTGTAAATATTCAAGAAGTAAACAACGGGTTTTGAAAATGAAGAGTTTTGATGATTTGAAGAGAGGTCATAAGTACGTGATCATCAATCAATACGCGTACAGGACAGTGGTTAACAACTCACCATCTACGGGCTCGCCATAGCCCGTGCTACTTGGAACTTTTTGTTCCAAGTAGCGAATCTTAAACAACAACTCACCATTAGGTACTCTGAATGATGTTGATCGATCAGTTGTCTGTACAGTCTACTGGTCAAAGTCGATCGATCAGTTGACTTGAATCCCTTGGTCAAAGTTGATCGATCAGTGGACTAGAGTCCCTTAGTCAAAGT